CTGTTAGAGGGGGCAGGCTGGGCTGAGGGATGCCCCCGAGTGCACAGATTTTTGTGCACTGGGCCACTAGTTGTTTAATAACATGCTATGTAGCCTCCATGTGTTTGAATGTTTTTGAGATTTTTATTGTAGTTGATTTCTACTTTTTTTGCCCTTATGATCTGAGGAGATTCTTGATATTATTTCAATATTCTTGAACTTGTATAGACTTATTTTGTGTCCTGATATGTGGTCTATCTTTCAGATTATTCCATGTACACTTGAGAAGAACGTATTTTTTTTGCTTTGAAGTGAAATACTCTGAAGATCCCAATTAAATCCATCTGATTTAGTGTGACATTTAAGGCTGCTGTTTCCTCGTTACTATTTTGTCTGAAAGTTCTATCCATTGATGTCAATGTGGTATTAAAATCCCCTACTATGACTGTACTGCTGCCAATCTATCCCTCTATATCTATCAAGATTTGATTTATATATTTAAGAGGATGCAAAAATGTTTACAAGGGTTAAATCATCTTGTTGGATTGAACTCTTTATCATTATCTAATGTCCTCCTTTTTCTCTTATTATAGCATTTTTAAAGTGTATTCCATGGGATATAAGTACTGCTACCTCAGCTTTTTTTAATTTCCATTTTTAAGATATGTTTTTTCCCATCTCTTTACTTTCAGTCTATGTGTATGCTTTGTTCTCAGGTGGGTCTTTTGTATACATCATATATATGGTTCTTGTTTTCTTATCCATTCTGTCACTTTATAATTTTCATTGGAGCATTTAATCTATGTACATTTAAAGTCATTATTGATAGGTACATATTTATTACCATTTTATTCTTTAAACCTATGTTCCTCTCTTCTTCTTAAAGAAGATCCACTAACATTTCATGTAATATTGGTTTGATGATCATGAACTCCATTAGCTTTTTCTTGTCTTAGAAACCATTTATTTCTCCTTCAATTCTAAATGATAGGCTTACTTGGTTAGAATTGTCTTGGTTATAGGTCCTTGGTTTTCATCATTTTGAATATATCATGCCAATCCCTTCTGGCCTGAAATGTTTCTTTTGAGAAATCAACTGACAGTCTTATGGGAGCTCTCTTGGAGATAAATAACTGTCTTTTTCTTGGTGCTTTTTTTCCCCCAATATGTTTTTATTGATTTCAAAGAGAAGAAGGGAGAGGAAGAGAGGGATAGAAACATCAATGATGAGAGAGAATCATTGACCAGCTTCTTCCTGCTCAACCCCTACTGGGGATCAAGCCTGCAAGCTGGGTCTGTGCTCTGACAGGGAATCAAACCATGACCTCCTGGTTCATGGGTCAATGCTCAATCATTGAGCAACACTGGCCCAGGCTCTCTTGATGCTTCTAAGATTCTCTCTTTGTCTTTAACTATTGCCATTTTATTTATGACTAGAGGCCCAGTGCACAAAATTTGTGCATGGATAGGGTCCCTAGGCCTGGCTGGCAATCAAGTCCGATTGGGGCCTTCCGTCCCCTGGCTGCCAGCTGCTGGCCAGGGCCTTCCTTCGTTCTGTGCTGCCCCCTGGTGGTCAGTGCACACCATAGCAAGCGGTCAAACTCCCAAGGGGACAATTTACATATTAGCCTTTTATTATATAGTATGTTCTTTGGTTTCATCTTGTTTGGGACTCAGCATATTCTGAACTTGTGTATCTTTTTTCTTTAGCAGGTTATGGAAGTTTTCAGTCATTATTTCTTCAAATAGGTTCTCAATCCCTTGCTCTCTTTTCCTTCTGGTACTTTTATGATATAGATCAGCCGTGGGCAAACTACAGCCCATGGGCCAGATCCGGCCCGTTTGAAATGAATAAAACTAAAAAAAAAAAAGACCGTACCCTTTTATGTAATGATGTTTACTTTGAATTTATATTAGTTCACACAAACACTCCATCCATGCTTTTGTTCCGGCCCTCCGGTCCAGTTTAAGAACCCATTGTGGCCCTCGAGTCAAAAAGTTTGCCCACCCGATACAGATGTTGCCACCCTTGATGTTGTTTTAGATGTCCCTTAAAATATCCTCGTTTTTTAATTTTTTTTTCTTTTTGCTGCTCTGATGGGCATTTTCTGCTACCTGGTCTTCCAAGTAGCTACTTTAGTTCTCTGGTTCACCTAATCTATTTATTCCTTCTAGTATGTTCTTCATTTCAGTTATTTTAGTCTTCATTTCTGACTGGTTCCTTTTTATGTGTTCTATATCCTTTTTTATCCTTGCTATCTCCTTGGTGAAGTTCTCACTCAATTCCTTGAGCATCCTTTTAACCATTCTTTTGAACTCTGTATCTGGTAGATTTCTTGCCTCAATTTCATTTAGCTCTTTTTTTGGAGATTTCTTCAGCTCTTTCATTTGTGGCATGTTTCTTTGTTTTCCCATTTTGGCTGCTTCTCTTTGCTTGTTTCTATGTATTAAGTAGATCTGCTATATTTCTCAGTCTTGGTTGAGTGGCCTAATGTAGTAAGTGTCTTGTGGGGCCATCTCCCTGACCACCTGAGCCAGGACTGTTTCTTGTATAATTTATATGAGCCTTGATTGCTGTTGGCATGTCCATGGCTGCTATTGACTCTAAAGCTGTTTGGCTGTGCAGATTTGCCATGATCACAGAGTATGAGCAGCTGAGCAAGGTCTGATCGCACATTGCATAATTTGCCCCAGCATGTTCCTGGTGCTGGCTGAGAGCTCCCTTTAGGAGTGGCATTTACAGAGTTTATCAGATGGTGCTCTGTTAGTTCTGTTGTTCTCTGTGAGCTCTGTTGTCTTCTGTGAAGGGACTCCAGTGCAGGTCAATATCAGATGCTTCCTGTGACCAGCTGGGGCTACCTATTATGAAATATAAAGCCAACTGCATTTGTTAGCTGCCTGTTCTTAGCCAGGGTGCATGTGAAGTGAGAAGGGCCAAACTGTGAACCTAGGCCTGCTGCTTCCTGTACCAAGCCTGCAGCAAATGGCCCAAGGCACCCCAAGACCCACTACTGCCTGCCAGCTTCCCATACATCTCAGCCACTGAAATAGCATCAGGTGGTACTTAGTGAGTCACCAGGGTGGGGCAAGTGGTGTTTGCCAGGTTAAAGCAGTTTCAGGCTTGGTGCCAGTGTTGGGTTTGAGGCCACTCAGCAAAAGTCTCAGAGTACACAAAGGCCAGCTGTCACCCACCTGGGGCCTGTGGAACTTTGTGGTTGGGCAGTTTCAAGGAGCCTTCAGAATGGAGCTAGGAAAGTTCACTGGGCTAATGCAGATTAAGATATGGCTGTGTGGCGGGAGGGCTCAACACAAGAAAGTTAATGCCTGTTCACAGTGGAGGAAGATGGCTCTAGACATGAAGCCATACAACGTTTCTTCCTGTATATCTCACCCCCTCAAGAATCAGTGGAATTCCTCAAGCATTTTTTAAGAAATACTATAATGTGGGCCCAGAGTGGTTGCTACTGACAGTGCCTCGGGTCTTGTGGGAATTGGGTAGGGTGGGGCCTTAGAGAGTCACCAGGGTAGAGCTAGTATAACTCACCAGGCTAATACCCAGTGGGGAGAGTCCTCAACCCAGGAAAAGATTCCTGTGGGTTGCACAGTAAGAGGAGGATTCAATTCAGGGACATTGGCAGCTGTCCCTCTGGCCCTCATGTTAAAATCATACAACTTAGTATCTCTGTATGACTCTGGGGCCCTGCCGAGCTGCCATCTCTCTGCAGGAGCCCAGGGTGGATCCCTTCAAGCAAGTGTTTGTGTGCTGTCTTTTTAAGATGACACCTGGATTTTCACCAGCCTTCTGTCTCACCTGAATGGAAGGAATCCCCACTGATTTTCACAGCCATTTGTTATGTGGGCTCTTCTTGCCGGCATTGGTGTTCTGGGTTTAGGAGCCCTGTTTTGGGCTGAGACCCCCTCACTTTTCAGGGGGTCTGGGTTTTTCTTTGTGGAAAGATTTATAATTACTAATTCAATCTCTTTCTTTAACTATCTGAATTTGTTTAGAGAGATTCTTTCAAGTGCAAGGCCCCCACGGCTAACTCTAGCTGGTAGTGTTGCTGATCTGGCCCACTGTAAATGTGCTGAATACAATTGCTATTGGTTGTTAACTTACGTAGGTGAACAGGTAGAATAGTTTCTTGTGCTAGTGCTTTGGAAATCATTTCAAATATAGTCTTATATGTAAATTATATGTAAATAGTTTTAAAATGTAACAATGCCTATTAGCTTGTTTATCAGAAACATTAAAAAACTCTTTAAATAAGAATTCAAATGCCTAGAAATATTTTATTTTAATGTTTTCAAAGGTTTTGAAAGCTTTTTTTACTCCCTACAAAATATATGCACTCCAAATGGAGAAACTCAACCTCTGTTCTTCTGTTTACTACAGTGCTGTTTCTCTATATTTTTCCCTCTAAATACAAGTTTTCTCACTGGCTGTTTTTAAGATTTTTTTTTCAGTGGAAATTCTGATATATGTTGGCTTGCTTTACTGAACCTGTAGACCTGGACTGACTACTGAATGCCAAGCATTGTGCTAGGAGTTCTGATAGGAAAATTTTCTGAGAGAAATCATATTAGCTTGGCATATTGCATGTATATTGAAAAAGTAACCTTGTGGAAAAATATATGAAAATGTAGATTACATTCATAAATAGACTTCTAGAAGTATTAGTAATGTTTCACAATAATTCAGTGAATGGACTCACAACACAGGGTAATTTGTATACATTTCCTTTTGAAATGCATATATTAAAATCTCACATATGCAAGTGTGTATGTGTATGTATATATGAAGGAGGGAGGGAATGCAATCTTATTATAATAACCACCTGAAATATTGCTCCTCTTTTGGAAGTTTCTGTCAATTACATTGTGGGTTTTTTTTTCTAATTTCTAATAGAAAAACAAGAGGAGAAAATAATGGGATCTTACAAATAAGCAGAAAAATATAGATACACATAGTTTATAAAGTTCCCTAAGTCATCTTGTAACAAAGTCTTGATTCTTACTCTTAGACCAGAAGATCAATTCAGAAGTTATTAGAATGGGAAAATAACAGATTATATCACAAGGTAAGAAATTTAAGCAAATAAGTACCCTATTTATATACTTGTATTATTAAATTGAAAAAAAAAGTGAGAATTTTTCAGGCCACAAAAGAATGGATTAGAGAATTAATACTCAATTTTCAATGTATATTCTTTAACAGGTATTTTTTAATGCTATTTTTTTTATCTTGTACTTTGTACTTACTCTTGGATTGTTTTCAGTGATTTATTCAAATGTATTGGTAATAATTAGTATAAATTGATAACAAAATTCTTAACAAACTGTACTTTCTTAGCTTGCTTTACACTGGAAGTTGACTAAAAGGAAATGTGAAACTAGCAATATGATGGAGTATGTAAGTATGCAGTTGTTTTTTAATTAAACTATTGTTGATCCCATCCTTATTGTTACATTTTACTACATTTACCATATGTCAAATCATCTTTCTACCTTTTTTCTCCTCAGGCTGAACTTTAATCAGTTAGAACATAGAGGTTTTCTCCACCTTCTTTAGCTTTGTAGCCAACATAAGATATCTTGAAAGCTAGCAGTTATTTAGAGCTTAGAAAAATCTCAGCTAGTGTGCTCAGATGAAAATATTGCACACTGACCTGGCTGATGTGGCTCAGTTGGTTGGGCATCTTCCCATGCACCAAAAGGTTGCTGGTTCAATTCCCAGTCAGGGCACATGACCAGGTTGTGGGCTCGATCCCCGGTAGGGAGTGAGCAAGAGGCAGCTGATCAATGTTATGCTCTCACATCAGTGTTCCTCTCTTCTCCCTTCTTCTTTCTCCAAAAGTCAATAAACTATTTTTTAAAAAAGAAGCCTGGCCAGTGTGGCTCATTGGATAAGCATAGACCCATGAAACCAGGAAGTCATGGTTTGATTCCTAGTCAGGGTACATGCCCAGGTTGTGGGCTCCATCCCCAGTAGGGGGCATGCAGAAGGCAGCTGATCAATGATTTTCTCTCATATTGATGTTTCTATCCCTCTCTCACTCTCCCTTCCTCTCTGTGGAAAAAATAAAAGCATAGTTTTTTAAATTGTTAAAGTTTTTTTTAAAAAAAGCAATGATTGTTTTTTAAAAGAAGAAAATATTGCACAACTTTAATCTTTTAACATAGGTGCAAACCATTGCATATGGTGTTGGGTGCAGCTGTAATCTTGTTGAAGCCTGCTTAATATAGGAACTGATTTCTGGATTCATTTGCCTGCCTTTTTTTTTTCTTAGCTGACATTTTTTTAGTAAAGAAACTGTAGTTTGTATATTTTTTACTGAAACCTAGGCAATCTTAATCATAAAACATAAATTCACATATAGCCAATGTGATAAATTCAACATCATTAACATTAAAAAGAATATGAAATTTATCCAAGTTTCAAGTTACTGACATGCAGTATATCCTATATAATAAAGTGGTAATATGCAAATTGACCATCATGCCCTAGCACAAGATGGCTGCCCCTATGTGGACACAAGATGGCCGGCAGGGGAGGGCAGTTGCAGGTGATCAGGCCTGCAAGGGAGGGCAGTTAGGGGAGACCAGGCCAGCAGGGGAGGGCAGTTGGGGGAGATCGGGCCAGCAGGAGAGGGCAGTTAGGAGCAGCTGGGCTGGCAGAAGAGGGCAGTTGGGGGGGAACAGGCCTGCAGGGGATGGCAGTTAGGGGTGACCAGGCCTGCAGGGGAGGAAGGGTAGTTGGGGGGGTACCAGGCTGGCAGGGGAAGGCAGTTGGGGGTGACCAGGCAAGCAGGGGAGGGCAGTTAGGGGCAATCGGGCCAGCAGGGGAGCAGTTAGGCATAATCAGGCTGACAGGGGAGTGGTTATGGGGTGATCAGGCTGGCAGGCAGAAGCAGTTAGGGGCAATCAGGCAGGCAGGCAGGCAAGCAGTTGGAAGCCAGCAGACCTGGATTGTGAGAGGGATGTCTGAGGGGTCCCAGATTGGAGAGGGTGCGGGCTGGGCTGAGGGTTCCCCCTGCCCAGTGCACAAATTTCATGCACTAGGCCTCTAGTATTTCATAATAAACATTCCATTTCCATTGCCGAAATAAGGATTGTTATGGTATCTTTCTCCACTTTGAATAGTTTTTTGAGGGAAATGTACAAATGACCACAAATCTAAAATCTACTATTATACATTTACATATTAAATTTATGTAACTTTACAAATATCTTTGTAAATATCTTTTCATTATTATATTTTCAAACCTTTAATTAAAATGTTTTAATCCATTTAGATACTTTATTATTTTTTACAAACAACTTGTAAAAGATAGTAATACTCAAGCAAATAGCAGCTTTAATAGAAAAATATATAGATGTAATATAGATAAAGGTATTTTTCTAATCCGTATAGCACAATTTTAATTTCTTCCACTTTGCTAAAAAATAAAAGGGAGGGGGAAGATGTGGAAGGACATAATAATGTAATAAGGTTTACTTTTCTTCACCTAAACAGTTATTTTAAATCAGGTAATAAAAACTGTTAGCTACAGTAAGTAATTATATTTGCCAATTTGATTTAATTTTCAATCTAACAAAAATATGTGGTAAATTCTTTTTATAACTGTTTTATATATTTCACTTATAAAATATAGTCCTGTGAAAAATGAGTATAAGGTTTCTGGGATATATGTAAGATATAGTCAATGAAAATTATTATGTCAAATATTCTTGTTTGTTTTTATTTTACAGGTAATACTAATAGAATTCTTACCAAAATATCCCATATTCCGACCTGACTGAGGAATTTTATTCAGTCACTTCTGTGTTACCTGTCATTTCCTACCCTTAGTGCCTTGTAGATGATTTTGGAATGAAGATGGTCTCCTTCTGTGTTCAATTTATTCTTTATAATGGTAGAATATTTTCCTCACTCTTTTGTGTTGGTTTAAGAAGAAAATTTGCACATCTTTTTTTGTTGTTGTTGTTAAATGAGGCTTGTGTTTTGCACTCTCCATTTTTAAATAAATACACACATACATGTGTATATGTAGTTGCCATTAAAGATAAAACATTAGTGCTGGCATTTTAAAAAAAAACCAAAAACTGTTCTAAGCATGCTGCCTTATAATTTTCCTACTTGCTGTTTCTAAATAGGCATCATTTTTCTAGGCTACTTTAATGCTCTGTAATCCCATATTAAACATACATAAATAAGCTATTGGTAGCTTTTAGCAATGGTTTTACTCTTTCCTGCTTGTAAAGGACATGCAATTAATAGCACTGGTTTTGTCCTGCACTTAGCTAAATTATCATTTATGTTAGTGGATAAAATATTTAAACTCCTAACGACTTGTAAATATTGTCTCTTTGCATAATGTACAATGTGGTATGCCATGGTTTACAGAATTTAATATTGCTCTTACTGTATTGCCAACAATTCTGCATAGATTTTAATATGATTGAAGTTTGTAAGCATCCTTTGGAATGTACATACTGTTAACATGCTATTGTATGGCAAAGCCACAATAAGTATGTTAAAAATTTCAGCTGTAGAACAGGGTTGCCCTTTGTAATGAGTTGATTAAAATTAAAATAATTTGAGATATTCTGCCTTGCACCTAAACCAAGAACCTGATTTTTTCCATTTAATTTAGTAGTTCCAGTTTTGTCCTCCATTTCCATCCCCAAAAGAATTCATTTGACATCTGACACATGTCACAGCCTCAGTATTCTCATTTATTTACCTTAATGTTTCATTTCCCTTGTTTGAAAATACACACCATTATGACTTATAAAGGAATATTTCAAGATTTCAAATGGCTTAGATGGTGGGTAGATCCCCATGAATGCCACTGCTAACCCCTTTTTGGAGTTCTGATATTCTACTTTGGGAAAGAGAGAGCTAATTAAAAAGCTGTACCTAAAGTATATGTAGTGGCTGAATCATAACTGATAAAATATTCTTAATCTTAATTTTGAGTATCTTTTTTCAACATTTGGATATTATAAATAAGGAAAGACAAGTATTTAGACCAAAATATTTTACTTTATAAATTCACCCTTTTCAGTGGTATGTGCATATTTCGCCTCACAATTAAGATAAGTGAGAACACCACACTTTAATTCTTCTAGAATTTGAATATATATATATATATATATATATATATATATATACACATTATTTGTAATTCTTAGTGCTAAAAATAAAAATATCTGGGACTGAATAATATTTTATTTATTACCTTTTATTGCTTTTAGTAAAGTTTTTTAGGCAAGCATTTATCCCAGTGAAGAGAACAATCATATCTTCATACAAGGTCAAACATTTTAAAGCCACTTGTAAAATTTATGCCTACTTTGACATCCACAGTCTTATACCAGTAATAGAAGAGGGGAAAAAAGAAACCTTATTTGATATGTGACTATAATTTTTGCCCAAACACTTTTTCACCTCCCTCAGTAGAGCCCCATTACCATGCCACCCAGCCACCCAGAATCTAACTTTTCATATGTTGTGTGTGTCTGCAAATATCATGTTTCTATGCTGCACAACTGAAGGTGTATTTTTATAGACAAGGTGGAAACCTCTGAAAATGCATACCAAATGTCTTTTTTTATAGGTAAGGTCAGGGAAACATTTTATCTGTGGTTTATGTTCTGGTTAATATCATCAGATTTATGCTTCAAACTGTGACAGTTTAATACCAAAATTGATTTGAAAAATAATACAAAATTCTTAATTATCACTGATAGAATAATAACTTGTAAATGTCAATCCATAAAATCTCATTTTTTATATAAATTTAGCATTTAGCCATGTGATGGTCATTGTAACTTTTTCTACCATGTATAAATCACACTTGGTTTTACTCAAAGAACAGCAGAAAGTAGTGAATCGTTTCCATGATATAAATATTGAGACAGAAATAGAGTGCATCTGAAGGTCACAGAGTATAATTCAAGTTACAATAGTATTTGTTATAAAAACCATTTGTATAAACTTAATTTTAAAACCTACTCTAATTGCTTTTAAATGTGTTACTTTATTGATCATTATGCTGGTTGACTCATTTTATTTTCTTGAAACTATTCAGAAAATAACCAGTATTCTTTTTTACTTTCTTATATGACTGCTTTTTCAAGCTATTTGCATTTGGCTGGGGCTAATTTTCATTTGGGGTTTTAGAATGCTTTGGGGGAGGGATTGTTTTCAATGAAATTGGCAACAGTGAATGCTGAAATGACAGAGCACACTAGTGGTCATTAATTCCTCCCCCTGGTCTTTTTTTCTTTATCCTCAAGATAGAATGTATTCAGATATTTTCATCAAGTTAGTAAAATATTTTTGTGAAAGTTGTTTTTTAATTGAAGACAGTAATTTTTAAATTTTTTGCTACATAATAATCCTTTATTAAACTTGCTGTGGTCATTTCCAGAGAAAATAACATGTATTTGCCAAAGTATATAAATCTCACAAATCTTTAAGGTTACAAGTTAAAACTGGTTCCTCTCTAACTTATCTTTATGCAGCTCCATCCCCATTACACCTTTAAGCACTCGAATTGTAGATAAAATGAAATAAACTTTAACCCTTTTTCAACTATTCTTTGTTCCCTTTTAACCCTCATGTTAATTCAGGAAAGAGACCATTGTAGTCAACTGTTAGAAGTGGATGGGAAAGTGCCTTGTCTTTTTTGAACAAAATTAGCATCTTATGTGAAAGGAGGAAGAATAGATGAATTGGTAGAAATTAGATTTAAAACTATCTTTTCAATTAAGTATATTTCACTAACACATTATATTTCTTCTACTTGTTTTAATCTGTTTAAAGCCTGTTTTTTTTCTTTTCCCCTAATCATGTGATCCATTAGTGACAAAATATTACAGAACAAGACTGTCATAAAACTAGTTTAATTCTAATGCTAGTGCAAGTGTAATTTAACATGGTTCTGGAACAACAATGGTCTTGGATTGAAGCCCCACCAAAACCCACTTAAGTATTGAATAGACATACTATTCATATTATTATGACCTATAAATACTGTCTGATCAATTGAACTGTATTAATACTTAGTACTCTACCATTTTTAATGAAATTTATTCTTGTTTTGTAATAATTGGAGTGAAGTTCCACAACATTTGTAAGTCTTTGAAAAAATAGGGTTTTTTTCAAATGTATGAGAGCTTTAAAAATTAACATTTTAATTTTGCTTACAAATCACTTACAAAATCAAACCTCAATAACTCACTACTACCTGAGGTTGTGGGTTCAATCCCTGATCAAGGCACAAACAAGAATCAACCAATGAATGCATAGATGGGTGGAACAAGGGATCAATATTTCTCTCTTTCTTACCCCCTCCCTCTAAAAATCAATCAATAAATAAAATATTTTTAAAAGAAACCTCATTGCTTGAATAATATTTCATTAGAATTTATTTTTATCTAGAAAAATATAGAAATTATACCTGTTTAATGGGAGCAGTTTCACATAGTGGAAATATTTTTTGCTAATTTGATTATAAGATGCTCAAATTTATTGAAATTAGATCCTCCTATGCCTATAAAATTCTACTTTAAAAATCCATTTTGCAACAATTGTCAAACTGTTTGGGTTCCTTTAAATGGTGAACTATAGGAAAATTTTCCACAGAAAAGAAATTGGTTTATTAACATTACCTTTTTATGTAATATGTGGTCTAAAAATAAGGTTGATGATGGCAACCTGAGAATATGTTTTCTTTTCTGTGGACTTCAGATTCATACTATACGAGGAAATTATCTAATCTTATGGGCTCCTTAAAAGTCACTTAAATTACATGTCAATCTCTTTATCTGTAAAATCATGGGGTTGAGCCTAGAGCTAGACAGAAAATTAGAAATCACCTAATCATATTCTTTGATTTTAGAAATCCTTAAGAAATTTTTACCCTACAGAATCTCAGAATGATTTTTCTTAAATCTACTACACTTTGTGAGTATTCCCAGAGTGCCTTGCACGCAGTAAGTTTGATTCACCAACTGGCTCCTAGCTGGTATGTATTCATATCACACAGACTTAAAGAACCTTATGCTTGCTAGACCTCAGCCCTATATGGTAATAAGAATTAATGTAATTTCTCTAGGAACTGAGGACAGGTCTGTAGTGTTTGCCTATGTGGAGTCTAACTACATAGTTGGTATCCAGACAAAAATTATAGCTGTAACAACAATGGAGATATGGGAAGACCTACTTTAACATTAATGTAAAAAGTTTCATATTCTATCCGTTATCTGTTTCAGTGACTTATTAAGCTCCACATCTTCAAAAAGATCAGTTGGAACAAATTGATAATATTAAATGGAAAGGAAAGTGGTATGAAATTCAAACCCAAGTCACTTCTCGTTGGTTCAGTTCTTAGCTCTGCTGCTTAATTCCTCTGTACCGTGTGTCCTCATTGTGTAAGTGGGGACAATATTCTTGTCCTACCTCACAGGGGAATTGAAGATTTTTTCATATATTAATGTGATTTTTGAAGTTGACTGGAAGATATACTGGACATCATAGTTTTGTACTTTTAAATAAATTGCTTTAAATCTGTTATGTTTTCTTTCTCAGTTAAACCCTGCAGAATGAGTGTTACAGTTAATCTGATTTTCAGTGGCAAATTTTGTTACCAATCCCCTATGTGTTAACATGGGTAGTTGTGTTATGTTACGTTACGTTACGTTATGCTAATACTTGATTTAGGGAGGAAAAGTGGGTAGATATAAACCAGTGGTTCCCAACTTGGGGCAGATGAAGATAGCAGTAAAGGCATCTTTGAACCCTTTTCAATATTTCAAAAAGTATACTAGAGATCATATATTTGTTCATAATATTTTTTCTGCACAAGTCAACTAAGAAATTGAATTTCCATGCATTTTGCTTATATTTTTTTAATTCTATGTAACAGTAGTTATGACACACTGATCAAAAGCTGTGGATGGCAGCAGAATAACAAAAAAATCAGAAAGCCTATTACATACAATTTAGTAAACAAAATACTTGAAAACATGGGAAGGAATAATAAAGGGATTCTTATGGTGAAATGTTGGGATCCACTTTTATAAAGTAACTAAGATTATTTGACCCTTTCCACAGACTGCTTACCCCATCCCTAAATAATAAAATGCTAGATTATGTGTGTTTGTGTTTTTTGGCAAGATTGGACTATATAACTTCGGGTTAGAACTTGCCTTCAGTTTTGTTTGTTTGTTTCAGAATTATATAACTGAGCTAATTTATTTAGATGTGTATGTGAAGTATACATACACACACATAGAATTGCAAATGTGGAAAGTGTTATAATGTCATGTTCTAGCATCAGAGTAAAAATCATCTTCTGAGATTCAAAGTAGTTCTGCTCATAAACTCAATGTGATGAGTCAAGGCAATACTTTCTCAAAGTTCCTTTTATTCCTGCATATTTTCTTTGCATTTATCTTGGATTAATTTTCTATTTTTCTAGTAAGCAAATAGTATAAAATTGTTTTAATGGACTTTGAAACAAGGTATAAATGTTTGAAATTATATAATCTGTGAGCTAGTTTGCCATCCTTGGACTAACCACATATAAATGAGTCTCACCTGCAAAAACAAGA